TCAAGCTCTTGAATGGCTGAGACAACAGGCATGTGCCACTGTGCCTGACTAAGAATCATAAAAAATATGTTTTCTCTGTTTTTCCTTGCAATTTATTCATTGCAGGAGATAGGATCATTTTTACTACGTGGTTCCCCTCAATTTTTTTTTTTTTTTGTGTGTGTGTGGTACTGGGGATTTAACCCAGATATGCCCTACAAATAAGTTACATTTCTAGCCCTTTTTATTTTTCATTTGTGACAGAGTCTCACTAAGTTGCCCAGTCTGTCCTTGAACTTGAAATTTCCTTCTGCCTCAGCCTCTTGAGTTGCTGTAATTACAGGTGTGTGCCACTGTTGCCCAGCTCCCACAATCTTGATTTTGTTATTTTTACAACTGTGGTAATGTTTAATAATAATTAATACTTTCTTCTCTATTCTGTATTTCCTATAAATTGTTTTTGGGGTCAAATTAGATTGGGCTCAAAAAAATTTTTTTTTAAAGACTACTTCACATTGGAATTTTGTGGACTTCCATCAGGAGCGACATAATATCCAGTTGTTTATCTTTGAAGTATTTATGATCATTGTCTAAGTCTTTTATGTTTTAGGGACACAATAGGAGAATATTTAAATTCTATTACTTCCTTTTAACACTTCCATTAGTTTTAACACTTCCATTAGGGAAAGAGTTGCATAGCACTCTATTGTGTGAATGTTCTATCAGTCTAGATAGAGTTATTTCCTGTCACAATAGTTTATTTTTCAAATGACTTTATTGTAACTAGTTTTTAACCAAAAGAAAGGGTTTTTGAAAAATGTATCTTCCACTTTATTTTCATAGAGTAATGTTTAAGACTGAAGTAACATTTGAGGAAAAGTTAAAAATTATTTCAATATGATAACGTAAGGATAAATTTTACTCTCCAAAATCATCTGTATTGCCAAAGTGTCCCTTTTGTTAAAAGGTACCTAGTAGAATTTTTTTTTTTTTGTATTGGGGATTGAACTTAGGGGCACTCAACCACTGAGCCACCTCCCAAGTCCTATTTTGTATTTTATTTAGAGACAGGGTCTCCCTGAGTTGCGTAGTGCCTTGCTTTTTGCAAGACTAGCTTTGAACTTAATGATACTCTTGTTTCAGTCTCCCAAGCTGCTTGGATTATGGGCATGTGCCTGGCACCTGGGAGTCTTTAACATGGAAAGAAAGCAGTACTGATATTGCTAGGGGACAGACAGATGTGAATGGTGGGGACATGAGGTTAAGAGAATAATTCTATAAAATGGGCCCTCTGTGATGACTCCCACATGCTTTCTTTTCCAAGAGCAATTTACCTGCAGCACTGCCTGGTTTAAGTAGCAAGCTATGTTATATTCCTCAGCAAACTACTTCTTATCTGCAGGAGAAATGCAGGCCTGAAGTAATGTATGTAAGAGGAACCTAAGTTATCTTGAAGGGGAGACTTTTGTGACCCTCTTCATAGATCAGATTCCCAAACTCAGGGAGATAAGGATAATTTCTCCTAACCATACAATCTGTGAGAATCTATGGTTAAGAATCTAATTAGAACCCATCAGCATGAGCCAAGGTGACACAGAGTTCTCAAGGCAGTGGGAACTTGAAAGTCTGATGTCATTCTGCTGTACCCCAAAATCAAGAGGTAGACCTGGTGGGATTCTCTGAAAACTTCTTTGGTATTCCTAATAAAACTGGAGTGTAGAAGAGGCACTCTGTCCCTCTCTTCTCCAAGAGAACCTTCTATTTCTTGAGAGTGTTCCTTTTCTCTTTTCTATCTCTTCAATAAACTCATGCTTGTTACTCTGAGTGACATGTCTAAAATCTTTCTGACTTGATTGCGAGAATTGGGGTTTAAAAGGGGACACAGTCTTCATGCTGCCTCAACTTCCCAAGAGGCCCCTGCTCTGTAACAGTATGGACAAGTAATTTAAGTTTCTTCTTACAGTGAAATGTCCTGAGAGCTTGGGAGAGCCTTCTTAATATATCTTTTCTAGTCCTTTTTTATGCATTGATCTAAAATTAAGCACAGTGCTTTTTTTGGTGATAGTGCATGCCAGGATGACATATCAGAACAGTTCATCAGTGCAAAATTGAGACACATCTGTTCAAATCAATCAGTTACCAACTTGATTGACTAATTTAGCAGGAATGAAAATTTAAAAATCATCATATGGATTGAACCATACAATTCCTTTATCACTACAATATTAAACTTTTCTTTTTATCTCTCACCATAGCATCTGCTAACTTACACCAGGCATTTTGTGAAACTTGTCAATGCTGGAGATTATAACAAGTAAAAGGTCATATGACAAAACAGTTGTTCAGCACACTAAATACTGAATGACTACAAAGAGGGAATGAGAGAGTCAGGTATTTTTCAAGTTTTTTTAAAATTTATTTTTTAGTAAACTTCTTAAAAATTTTATTTGTTCTTTTTAGATATATATAACAGCAGAGTATATTTTGACATACATACATGGAGTATAACTTATTCTAATTAGGATCCCATTTTTGATGTGGAGTTTCATTGGTGATATATTCATATATGAACATAGGAAACTAATGTCTGATTCATTCAACTGTATTTTCTATTCCCATCCCCTTCCCTTCCCTTCCCTTCATTCCCCTTTGTCTAATCCAGTGAACTTTTATTCTTTCCTGCACAACCCCCTTATCATCTGCAGAGAACATTCAGCCTTTGGTTTTTGGGATTGGCTTAATTCATATTTAGCATGATACTCTCCAGTTCCATCCATTTATTGGCAAATGTCATATTTAATTTTCCTTTATAGTTGAGTAATACTCCATTGTGTGTCTGTGTGTATCTCACATTTTCGTCATCCATTGATCCATTGGATGGCACCTAGTTTGCTTCCATAGCTTAACTATTGTGAATTGTGCTGCTATAAACATTGATGGGGCTGAGTCACTATAGTTTGCTGATTTTAAATCTTTTGGATATATATGGAGTAATGGGATAACTGAGTCAAATGGTGGTTCCATCCCAAGTTTTCTGAGGAATCTCCATATTGCTTTTCAGAGTGGTTGCACCAATTGCAGTATGTATGAGTGTACCTTTCCCCCTCATCCTTGCCAACATTTATTGTTGCTTGTATTCTTGATAATTGCCATTCTGACTATAGTGAGACAGCATCTCAATGTAGTTTTAATTTGCATTTCTCTAATTGCTAGAGAAGTTGAACATTTTTTTTATATATTTGTTGACAATTCATGTATCTTCTTTTGTGAAGTGTCTGTTCAGTTCCTTTGCCCATTTATCGATCATATTATTTGGGTGTTTTTTTTTTTTGAAGGTAAAGTTTTGAAGTCCTTAAAAAACCCGGAAATTAAAACTCTATCTGAGGTACAGGTAGCAAAGATTTTCCCCCATTCTATAGGCTCTCTCTTCACATTCTTGATTGTTTCCTTTGCTGTGAAGATGCTTTTTAGTTTGACACCATACCATTTATTGATTCTTGATTTTACTTCTTGTGCTTTAGGAGTTTTGTTGAGGAATTTGGTTCCTAAGCTGACATGTTGGGCCTACATTGTATTCTAGTAGCGGCAGGATCTCTGGTCTAATGTCCAGGTCCTTGATCCACTTTGAGTTGAATTTTGCACAGGATGAGAGATAGGGATTCAATTTCATTCTGCTACATATGGATTTCCAATTTCCCCAGCACCATTTGTTGAAGAAGCTATCTTTTATTTTTAGTAAAATTCCTGACCCTTGTTATTCATCTATGCTTATTTAATCATAAGTATCTAACACAAAATAAAATTTTGAAATTTTAGGGGATGACTTTTTTCCTGTCCCTCAGCAAAGGAACCAAGAGAGTAAACAAGCAATTCACAAGTATCTTTGATGGTATAATATAGTTGTATATCAGAAAACAAAACAGAACAAAACAAAACAATTACCTTCATTGTAAAAGTGAAGGCAAGCACAATTCAACTAAATCAGCATGGTTGTTGGGGAAAAAGAAAGCCCGCCTTCCAAGTCAAAGAGTGAGGTATGCTTTTTGTGTTATGAAATGTAACGTGTTTGTTTTGGTCCTCCATTGCCATGCGACAGATTACAATCAGTGGCTGAAGATGACACACATTCTTCATCTCAGTCTCAGTAGCTCAGGAATCTGGGTGTGGCTTAGCTGGGAGCCTCTGGCTCTGGGCCTCTCAGGAGCTGCTGTCAAGCTGTAGGCTGGAGCTAGAGCACCTCACTACCTGAACAGTATGTGGCCATTGGCAAGTTTCAGAAGATCCTTTGCCAAGTTTGACCACATAGGGCTTTCCACTGGGGGCTGTCTGGAGACATGGAAGTTGGTTACCCCAAGAGTGTGATTCAAAGAGAGTTCCAGAGAGTACTGAGGCCACAGAAGTGACCTGCATCACACTTTCTGTATTCTGTTGATGAGAAAAAATCAGTCAGTCCAGCCCACCCGCAAGAGGAGTAAATCACCAGGAAGAGAGATTGCTGGGGCCTAATTTGGAGGCTGCCTGCAACAGTCTGTTATTTTAAATGTAATTTTTTGTTGTTTTTTGCTATAATGGGGACCAAACCCAGGAACTCTCTCATGCTAGGCAAGAGTTCTACACACTGAGCTATATTCCCAGCCTTTAAATGTAAGTTTTTAAAATAGAAAATACATTCTCATGGTTAATATTTAAAAATGTTCAAGAGGATACAGAGGAAGAAGTTTTCCTCACGCCCCTATCTTCCAGTCCCCTCCTTGAGCAAATTGTTATCATTTTCCTATGTAACCTTTCTGAGACCTTCTGCCAAACCCGATGTTGGGAGAGAGAAACTCCACAGATAGGAGCAGAAAGCCGCTTTAATCTTCCCCTCTCTCTTGCCAGTTTAAACCTGCTTTGTAGAGATAACTCTTTCCTCCTTCTTGGATAAAATCTGAAGTGAATACTATGACTTTTCATCTTCTTGTCAGATAATGAGTTCTCCAATCATTTTCAGAATTAAAATATCTAGTCCTGAGCAATACCAAGTCAGGCTTGGAACTTTTGTGTAGAATACCTCCCCTTGCAGCCAGGCCTGAAAGAAGAAGGAGGGGGTCTTGTGGTCAGCTCCTCCACTACCATGAGCCTTTCCCTTCCTCTTCTACCTCCTTTCTCAGTCTGTCTTTATCAGGGCTCAAGGATGGGAAATGGGGAGCTCTCTTTTTCATTTCTGCTCTTTTGGATTATTCAGAGATTTTCTCACAGAAACAACCAACTGTGGCTTTCTTCATGTTTGCGAATTCTCTCCTTCATTAGGAGACAATTAGAATTGTTCTTTTCTTCCAAGGATAATTCTCCAACCCCTTAAAGGTAGTATCACTTCAGTCCTGGCAAAACCTCCTGAGACAGCTCGGTGAGAAGCTCCCTCTCTCTCATCCTCTGTCTGGTCCTGGGAAGCTCTCACACACCCTTGGTGAATCTTAGATTCTTTGGAAAACTGGTTCAGACTGCCCTTTGCTCTTTGAGGGTTTTTAATTTCTTGAACTGTCTTGCTCAATTCTTTTAGGAATCCTTATATCCTGGGGACAAGGAATGTTCATCAAATCACTCCAGGAATTAAAATCCAAAAGAGCAGATGTATCTGCTGGTTGATCAAATGCTTGTCTTGTATGGGTAGGAAGTGAAAGAGTTTTCTTGTAGAACATTTTTCCCACATGTTGAGATACCTTTGAAGACAAAATAATTATAGTAATTAAGTCTGTGAATTCATTCAATAACCCAACACTAACCACGGAGGGAGGCTGAGGTAATTTAAGTCATGTAACCTATATGTAGTTTGCAGGGTCACAGTGCTAGGTTATGGTGAGCTTTTTCTTTCTCTTAGAAGCATACAGTGTTTTCAGCCATAAAGCTTTGTGTCAGCCTGGCTCTAATTTCCCAGTTCCCCTTCCTGGTTCTAATATGGTTCAAGGGCACTGACCATGACTTTACTTCAAGTGTACCCCACCTTGACGTTCCCCAGTGGTCCCATGCCCACTACCACCACCACCTACACCAGCTCTAGCCAGTCCTTCTCCTGGCTGGTTACTGGTGAGACAAATGAAGCTGCTCAGAGACTTAGTGCCCTGTTGCTAACTGGGACCCTACATGAGGCTTCAGCTGATCTTGCTATAAGCTTGACCCTGGATGGAACCCAGGTCACACTGTCTCAGCTTAGATCCAAAACTGCCTTCATTATAATAATACATCTGTTGCAAGTTTCTGTAACTTTTTTCTTCCACCCATCCTTTTCCTTGTATGGCCAGTTCAGATCCGCCTTCTTGGTTTTGTGCTGATGGTGGTGGTGGTGGGGACGTTTCTTCTTGGTGGTGGTGCTGGCTATCATGGGGCTTTCCTTCAGTCTCCAGTTTGGGATGTTGAGACCTGATTATCTTATCCAGTGATGAACTCTTGGCTGTTCACCTTCTGGATCTTCCACATGTTACTTAGAGTCTTCCAGTTCTGCCACTTCAGTTCCCAATCTCAACTGTCAATCAACTTGGCCTTCCCCCCAGGTTCTGAGGGAACCTTGTTTGTTATGCTGGCAGATGGTGCCTGGGATGTAGTAGCTCAGTTGTGTTTCATGGAAGTATGTATACTAACAAAAATTAATGATAAGTTGAAGCCAAAGACTATTTGATTCGAGGAAAAAAAATCATGAAGTCATTGTAAGTATGCTGAGGGATATAAGATCCTTACTAAAGAAAAGTAAATAATCTAAAAACAAATGTCATATTGCATCAATGTTAATTTCTTAGTTTTGACAGATGTACCTTGTGGTATAAGATGTTAAAATTGGGGAAAACTAGATAAGCTGTACAATCTTTACAACTTTACTGTCTCTAAAATTATTCCGAAATGTTGGAAAAAATAATATCAAGGAAATATTGAAGTTTTTATATTAAGAAAAAAATAATTTCCTTACCTTAAAAACTTTAGACAAATAAAAATGGTTTTCAAAGGACAATCTGAAATTTTAGTTTCTGGCATAAACGTTTATGCTGACTAGGAATGCTCCTGAACGAATCCTGGAACAAATTCTGGAACAAATTAGTTATAGCTTTTTGGCATACCTTTTAAGAAGCTTAATCTTTTGAAAGTTAACTGTTGACCTATTTACGAATGTTGCATATTCTAAAGTTACATGAGTCCACAAAGCAGACAAGTCCTTTCAAATGGTGGCAAAGGAAGTCAACAATAAGCAATGAATATAACAAATAAATAGATCACATTTATGGTTGAAGGTGATAAGTGTTATGAGTGGAAAGGACAGCAGGAAGATGATATCAGGAGCATGCATGGGACCTGAGCAGTGTGACATTTTAAATAGGGTAATCAGAGCAAGTCTCAATGAGAAGGTATGCTTGAATAAAGATGAATGTAGGGGTTAAAGAATGAAGGCATCAGGGGCAGAGCATCTTGGGCAGAGGGAACAGCTGTTGGGAAAGCCCTGGCATGGAATATGCCTATAGCAGTTAAGGAACAACTGCTGGCAGGTAAGCAAGAGCAACAGCACTGAAGAGGGGATGTGGAGGGTGAGATCTGCAAGGTTGTGGTGGGTGGGACAGTGCAACTGATATGGGACCTTGGCTTTGACTCTGAAGGAAGTAGGGAGCTCTTGCACAGTTTTGAATAGAAGAGAGACATGATCTGTCTTATGTATAAAAAGGACCACTTTTTACTGTTTGGTGAGTGGACTTGAGTAGGTAAAGGCAGAATCAGGGAGAACAGAAGAAGGCTAAGGCAGTAATTGGTACTTTAGAAAAAGACAATGGTGCTTTAGACACGAATGGAGCAGGGAGGTGGCAAAAAGTGGTGGCTGAAGCCAGTTTGTTCCTACTCACCACAGCCACTTACTAAACTTGTAGGAAGTTTGTGAGCCAGTTGTTAAACATTCCATTATTAAAACTTATATTAAAAACTTAAAATCAAGCTAGGTAAGCTGGGCATGTTATTATTTATCATTGTCTGTGTACTTAGGGTTATTTATATCTATTATATCTGAGATATAATATGTCAATTGTATCTGATGAAAATAAAGTGTGGTGCTGCCTCGGTCTCTTTGCAATTCTATATTCAGTGTCATTATGATATTGTTGACTATGGTGAGAGTGATTTATGTGCTAGAGATTGGCAAATGCTACAAATCAATAGATTTGTTTTGTTTTTAAGAAGTTCTAATTGTCAAACATTTACCACACACCACTTCTTATTGCCTTCTCAGTTATACCTAGGAGTGTGTTACCACTCCTCCAACCTAATGTTTTCAGGTTCCTTCACATCTAACATGTCCCCATTACAGACAGGAAAGCTCAATAAAGAGGTTAAATATTCTGTATATTACAACAGAATAAAGGTAAAAAAAAATTCTCCCAAGCATCACCCCATTAATAAATATTTAATTATATGAAATCATCATACCTGTGATTGAATTTTTAGTGCTGGCCCTAGCTTCAATCCCAGGGTACCTCGAAGATGCTCCTCTGTGAGTAATGGCAAAGTTTCTCCATCAATTGCATGATCTTTAAATACCTTATTAAACAAAAAGGCATCAGCTTTATTCAAATGTCTTTAAAAAATAATGTTCTTGCTCTGTATACAGATATTTTAGTTTTGGTAGAAACATTGAGACTATTTGGGACTGACACAAAATTTTATAAAATAACTTTCTCTCTTCTTTCCTTTTTTTTTTCTTTCTTTGCTGGGGATTGGACCCAGGGCACATGCTGGGCAAGTGCTATACTACTGTCCTACACTCCCAGCTCCCAACTTATTTCTAGTTGCTCTCTTTCCTATGTCCCAGTAGCACATTAATAACCCTTGGAATAGATTATAATTCTCTGTTTATAGAACTTATTTCCAACCTAAAACACTTATTATTTGAGGACAAGGCCGATGTTCTATGTATCAATGTACCCCTAATGCAGGGTGGTTTATGGTAGAAGATGTGCAATAAACACTGTAGGATGAATCAACAAATGGGCAAGTACCCTGAGTAAAGGGATGCGGGTAGAGCTCAAACTGCCCCGGTTTGCAGATGCAGTGTCCTTTGCCCACTATTTAATGTTTGAAAATGCAGGTGAGAGCAGTTACCCTGGGCCTTTCTATTTTTTTTCTTTTTTTTTATTGGTTGTTCACAACATTACAAAGCTCTTGACATATCATATTTCATACATTAGATTCAAGTGGGTTATGAACTCCCAATTTTTACCCCAAATGCAGATTGCAGAATCACGTTGGTTACACATCCACAATTTTACATAATGCCCTATTAGTAACTGTTGTATTCTGATACCTTTCCTATCCTCTACTATCCCCCCTCCCCTTCTCTCCCATCTTCTCTCTTTACCCCATCTACTGTAATTCATTTCTCTCCTTGTTTATTTTCCCATTCCCCTCACAACCTCTTATATGTAATTTTGTATAGCAATGAGGGTCTCCCTTCATTTCCATGCAATTTCCCTTTACTTTCCCTTTTCCTCCCATTGCATGTCTCTGTTTAATGTTAATCTTTTCTTCCTGCTCTTCCTCCCTGCTCTGTTCATAGTTGCTCTCATTATATGAAAGAAGACATTTGGTATTTGTTTTTTAGGGATTGGCTAGCTTCACTAAGCATAATCTGCTCTAGTGCCATCCATTTCCCTGCAAATTCCATGATTTTGTCATTTTTTAGTGCTGCGTAATACTCCATGGTGTATACATGCCACATTTTTTTAATCCATTCATCTATTGAAGGGCATCTGGGTTGGTTCCACAGTCTAGCTATTGTGAATTGTGCTGCTATGAACATCGATGTGGCAGTATCCCTGTAGTACGCTCTTTTAAGGTCTTCAGGGAATAGTCCGAGAAGGGCAATAGCTGGGTCAAATGGTGGTTCCATTCCCAGCTTTCACCCTGGGCCTTTCTAGCAAGGCCTGTTCATTTTAACTCTTTAGTGGATGTTTCCATGCCTTTCTTTCTTCCAGAAGCTAGGAAAGCTACTGGTGGACAAAGTTTCCAGGCAAATAAAGACATGGGTCTGGATCAGTTATTGGGACCATAATTTCATGATTTCCAACTTCAACCTGCCTGGCAATCCTTGTGTTCATTCATGAGCTTTCTCTCCTTCTCTTTGAAGGCTTCTCCATCCTCCTTAAACTTTAGACCCTACAGAGTCCTCCATTGTTTTCAGCAGATCATATACCTTCCTAATTTAAAAAGAAAGAAAGAAAGAAGAAAAGAAAGAAAGGCCGGGCATCATCGCTCTGGAGGCTGAGGGGGTGGGATTGTGAGTTCAAAGCCAGCCTCAGTAACTTAGTAAGACCCATGCCTAAACAGAATATATAAAGGGCTGAGGATGTGGCTCAGTGATTAACCATCCCTGGGTTCAATCCCCAGTACCAAAAATGAAAGAAAAAACAATAAAAAAAATAAATAAGAATTTCCACTAAATCTGTATAATGAAACTAACAACTGATGTTTCTCCCACTATCCTACTTAATGGAAAACAAGTCTGTTTTAGTGAGTTTGTGGTTGGTGTGACAAAAATGCCTGACAAGAACAACTTAGAGGAGGAAAAGTTTATTTTGGCTCCTGGTTTTAGAGGTTCAGACTACGGCTGGCTGACTCCGTAGCACTGGGCCCAGGCATGGCAGAGGAAAATGTACAGGACATGGCAACCAGGAAACAGAGAGAGCTCCCTTCCCCAGGGAAAAAATGTGAACCCTAAAGGCACACCCTCCAGTGACCTACTTCCTCTAGCCACACCTTACCTGCCTACAGGTACCACCCATTTAATCCATTCAAGTGGATTAATCCACAGATTTGTTTACAGCTGTCATAATCTAATTTTCTCTTCTGAACGTTTTTCTGCATTGTCTCACACAGGAGCTTTTTTGGAGCACCACATATCCTAACCACAATAAGGTCGCTCTACTACTTAAAGACTATTTCTCCACATTTGCTGTGGATCTTCACCTCTTCCACTTTGGGGCCTCACATGAATAGAAAATTCCCTCTTTTGTCTTCAACTTTTCCTCTTCTGCTAGCTCTTTCCCATTAGCTAAGCAAGTTTCCACCATTGATAAGTGAACAATAATGACAACACACACACTCCATTTCTAGGTCTGCCCCACATCTCTCTTTCCCTTCATAGCTGCATTTCTCAAAAGGGGTTCAGTGATCTTCCCTGCATTCCTGTCATTCTTTAGTCTCATAGGTTCTGAGTTCTTTCCCTTCCATACCATTAATCCTTCTCTTTTCAGGCTCCCTAGTGCATCTAAGGTACCAAACACTTGGACATTTTCTAGTTTCATTTCTTGTATTTGCTAAATTCCTGGATGCTTTTGACATTGATGACTACTCCTTTGTGAACATGACCATCTCTATATGCCAAAGGCTCTCTAACATCTGTGTTTAACTTAGATGCTCAATCCTGCCAATTCTGCCTCTTAGATAGTGTTTTTATCTGCCCACCCACATTGCTCCTACCCTGGCTTAACCTCCTTATAGCTCATGTGAGGCATCTTGCCCTGTGGTCTTGCTCCCTTCAATCTATTTTCACAAAAATCAACTTGAGTGACATTTCTGAGGAATAAAGTGAATCATGTCTCTCCTGCTTAAAACCTCCACTGCTTCTAGGATAAACTCAAAGTCCTTCCCGGGGTCTTCAAGGCTCCTTGTGACCTGGCCCCTTCTTTCTCTTTAGGATCCTGTCTTGCTGTTCTCATTTCTTCCACGTTGGCCTTGGCCCTTTATGCTACTGTGAACTATTCTCAAAATCCAAGTATGTTAAGTTCTCTCTGGCTCTGGCCCTCACTGGGAAGCTCCTTATTCCCTCCCTTCTGCCTCCCCTCCCTTCTGACCTTCTCATCTCACTTCAGAGGCCACTTCCTTTAGGGGGCCATGATTTCCTCCTGTGTGCTCCTACTCCACTTCATATCCCCTCTTGTAGCACATTTCTGTTGATGTGGGATCCCTGACTGGTGTCCTCTTCTGGACTTTGAGCTCCATCAGAAGAGGAATCACATGTGCATGTTTCCTTATGTGGTCCCAGGCCTTGAAAGGCATGCCTTGGGACCAGCTGGAAAATAGAAATTTCTTGGAAAGCTAAGTCCAGGATCTTGTGTTTCAGTTGAGTCATTTACAAAGTGTATTAAGTAATTAGTTCTTTTCCTATTTCAATTAAGCAAATAACAAATAGGCTAATATGAATTAATTTAATTTGAGCCAAATTAAAAATGTTGGCAGTCTAGATTAGTCTGTGTAGCCTTATATTGGAGGAATTATAATTTTCTTAGAAATATCTCTTTGAAATATCAAAAGCAATATGCCTCTTTTGCCACCCTGGAGACTTTCTAGGAGACCAGAGATCCTTGGTTGGAAGCTCAATAACCTTATTGTAAGTAGTAAAGTAAGGTTATTATAACCTTACTCAATAACCTTACTGTAATGCAGGTTATAATAGAAAGGGACAGATTTGTAGTCACATATGTATTTTCCAATTTAGTCAACTTGATGCTTAGTTTTACTCAGCTGCAAAATAAAGGTAATATCTTTGGGGGGGGGCAGAATTATGATATAAAATTTTATTTAAAAGAGGATGTAAGTTATGTGTCTATCACAGTGAATATCACACTAGGCATTATTATCATTGTTAGTTTTTTTTTTTATAAACAAAGAATCCATGTAGAAATGGTTAAGTTATTCAACATACACAGTAAGAAAACTTGTTTAGTTACATATTGTTCATGATTCTTTTTTTTTTAATATTTATTATTTAGTAATCGGCGGGTACAGCATCTTTGTTTGTATGTGGTGCTGAGGATCGAACCCGGGCCGCACGCACGCCAGGTGAGCGCGCTACCGCTTGAGCCACATCCACAGCCCCTATTGTTCATGATTCTGATCCAGGGTTTCCCCTGCTGGATCTCACTGCCATGCAGAAGATGGAGTGCAGATGAAAATACTTGATTCTATTTATGGTGAAAATTTCATCTCATTTCTACTTCCTTTGTAGTGATTCCATGAGTGTTGAAGTGGGTGTTTGTGAACATCCAAAGAAGGAGAAAACACATGAATACCCTTTCAAAGGGAGGGAGGTTGGCAGCCAGGGACTGGCAGGTGAGGATGGACCTAACCCTCAGCCATGGTGGGTTTACATGGGGCCTGGGCAAGATATAGATCACATCTCTGTCACTTGGATATGTACCCTTTGTCCTTACCAGAGCATTTTGGGCCATGTGTATGATGTAAATGTGCCTCAATTTTCAGTAATTTCAGTTAGTTTTGGGGATAAAATCTTTTATCTGTTGAATTCTTTGAATTAGACATTTATTTAGAATAACAAAATGGGTTACAGGTTCTCCTGTGTGTCCCTAAATAGCTGAGCCACCAACCCTCTAGAGACATCTCTTTAAAATAGCTCATTTGCACAAGGGTTTGGGTTTTATTTGTGATCTTTTTTTCCCCCTCAATTTCTTGCTTTAGTAGAAGGAAGTGGGTGTTTGGAAGTTGCTTAACGGACACCTAAGGCAGAGGTGAGGACAGAGGGGAGTACAGTGGGTACAGCTCTGACTAGCCTAGGGGCATGGTCCAACTCATATAAAGAGATGGGCTGGCACCTATAATCCCAGCAACTCGGGAGACAAGGAGGGAGGATTGTGAGTTCAAAGTTAGCCTCAGCAAAAATGAAGCACTAAGCAACTAAGTGAGACGCTGTCTCTAAATAAAATACAAAATAGGCCTGAGGATGTGGCTCAGTGTTCGAGTGCCTCTAAGTTCTATTCCTGGTACCCCACCCACTAAAAAAGGAGATGGGCTGGAGTAAAAGTTGACAGGACATTTTTGACAAGGAAGCTATGTACAAGCGGTGCTGCATCAAGGCTGTTGCATCCAAAATGCACTAAGCTGAATCAGGGAGGTTTCCCCATTTCTGTGCAGAGGAATTTCCCTGAGCATAACAAGAAAAGCACACCACAGAGCAGCCAAGTCTTTTGGTTGATGTCATCTACAGTAGCTTGGAGGGGAAGACATTAAAATGTGTTTTCACCCCTAAGACATTTGAGAAGCATTTAGAAATAATTGATATCATTTCTTCTTGAAGGCACTGACATCCTATTTCTGAAAGATAGTGAGTCAGCAATGTTTGGGGTACTCATGTTTTGGTGACTTCTGTGTATTACCCACAAAGGGACACTTGGGATTATTATTGCAAGAGTAGTTTATTATACTCTTTATAATAAACTTTAATAACTATGGATAGCTGACTGATTAAGAATAATCAAAGTTCTACAAATTTTTAATCCACCAAAATCAGCAATCACATGCTTATTATATACAAAGGATTGTTTATTTCTGGCTGCTATCAGAATTTAATAAGTTCATTGTGCCTGTGGTTGTTGTGGCACTTGATAAATGGTAGATATAAATCTTAAAAGTGATTTACCTGTGATTAGTGACTAATAATAAAATAAAGTTATACCCAATGAGCAGGAGGATATAGGGAAAAAAATTTAATGTGTTATGCAACTGATGAAATTAGCATTTATCAAGTACTCAAAAGGTACAAGGTGCTCTTTAATGTTCATAGCAATCCTTTGGAAATGTCGTTTTACTATTATCCTCATTTTGTAGGTGCAAGGCACAGAGAAAAGAGGAAACTTGTTTTAAGTCACACATTCAAAAAATAGAAAAGCCAGAATTTGAATTTGTACTTTCTGGCTTCAGGAGCCTTACTCTTAATTACTATGGCTTTTCTATAAGTCCTATGAACAGAATTTTTTTTTAGGCATTATATTTACCTATTTAAAAAAAATTTTAATATTCATTTATTTATTTTTTTATTCTCGGCGGACACAACATCTTTGTTTGTATGTGGTGCTGAGGATCGAACCCAGGCCGCTCGCATGCCAGACGAGCACGCTACCACTTGAGCCACATCCCTAGCCCAAACAGAATTTTTAAAAAAAGGAAAAGAAAAAGAATTAACAGCATTACACTGTGGAAAACATTTCACAAAACAGAGTTTTAAAAAATTTTTTCTAGCATCAGTTGATTATGAAATTGTTAACCTTTAATCTTCTTTTCTTGCCTTCTTTAAATTTTTTTTAATTTGTTCTAGTTACACATGTTAGTAGCATGCACTTTGATATGTCATATATAATGAAGTAAAATTTCTCGTTATATACATGAGGTAGAATCCCTCTGGTAGAATAGTTACATATGTACATAGGGTAATAGTCTGATTCATTCTACTATCCTTCCTACCCCCAAATCCCCTTCTTGCCTTATTTTTAAAATATGTAAACCAAAGATAATGATATCAGATTTAGTAGATACTTTGTTGCTTATAATTGTTATTAAATCACTCAAAAAATAAACTATATGCATAAAAAGTAGCAGTGATATAAATTTCAAAACTGACAACCCATGATTTTTGTCACCAATTTTCCCACAAAAATGAGGCTAATTTTCTTTCCATTTGTCTTGACAGTTCATTATAATTTTAAAAATAGCATTTATCTACCAGATGGAATTATGCGTGTGCATTTTTACATATTATGCCAGTATAAATGTAGAATTTAAAAATAGTTAAGGATCTGGGTATGTCACTCAAAGATAGAGTGCTTGTCTAGAATGTAGGAGGCCCTGGGTTTAATCCCACTAAATAAATAGATAGATAGATCCAGTTTCTACTTTTCAGATCTATTGCTTCCTTGTCCTTTTCAGAATGAAGTATAGCTTTCTTTTATTTAGGATCAGTAGCCTAAAACTTATTTATTTATTTACTTATTTTTTAGTTGTTGATTGGGGCCTTTATTTATTTATCCATATGTGGTGCTGAGAAATGAACCCAGTGCCTCACACATGCTAAGCAAGTGCTCTACCACTGAGCTAAAGCCCCAGCCCCACCCTAAAACTTTTGATATAGAAGCATGTACTCCAAAAATATTTGCTATATGCATGAGCAAGGAATTTAGCATACATTTCCCATTGCTTTTGAATGTTTAGTCTCTGAATCTCCTTCTAGTTTTGGGAGTATTTCCATCTCTCAGGAGTCTTTCTGGGACCTATGCTGAAGCCTCCCTTGGCGTTGGGTGTGGCATGTGAACCACATACACCCATCAGAAACACCTGTCCCAGAAAAGACAACCACATAAAAAAGTCAAGTGCCCTTGAGTTCAATCCCTAGTACTCTACCTCCTGCCAAAAAAAAAGTGGGGGAGGGTTTATAGGAATCCTTTCTGGGGGCAAGAGGCAAATTTGACAAAACTATTATGCTGGAAATAAATTTCAAATTGTTGTAATTTTATGAAAATATTTAAATATTGAGTCACCTGAGCACAGTCTGAACAACCTGGAAGGCTTCTAATGAAGTTGTGTACATCATCCACGGTCCATTTCTGAATATCTTCATCCAAAGAAAGATTTTCCCCAACTGTAACCAGTGCATGTGTTCCTTTAAGATGGAAAGGCAATTATTTTGTGGCATGGAATTTCTAGGAAAAAGAGGAAGCTTGGAACATGGGTTTCTGTAGAGTTACAAGAATTTCTCTCAGAGTGACAGAACACGCTCTGTTTACATGAGCCAATTTCGTAATCTCTTTAAAAGATATTCAGAGTCACTGGGAAATGTTCTGTCTCTTCCTTTCTTTTCCTCCTCTGAAAGGATGCTTAGTGACAACAGTATTGTAAGCAAACAAAGATTTATTCCATCTGCTCCCAGATTCCAACAGAAAGCTCTCTCCAGATTAATGCCACCATGTTCTGTGATATTCTGATTATCATGCTCTCTGCTAAGAATTTAGCTACATCTTCATCAAAATGGCAAGCTAACACTTTGGAGAGAAGCAGTTAGTACGGTGGCTAGATTTCATACACCCCAGAATCCCTGTGTTTAAAAAAAATTTTTTTTTCTAAAAAAGTTCCAGAAACTATTCACTGCATGGTTTTGGCAATGGTGTTTATACATTCAGATTAGAAGGTATCGCAACAGTGATAGACCCTGGAAGGTTGTTTCTTTTTAACTCCCTTTTTTTTTCTACACTTAATATAGATGAGATAGAATTCATACTCTAAAGCAAAAAGCCTGTCTGCTTTGTGTTGAAGAAATTAATAGTAAGTTAAATTAAATTTTTAATTTAAAATTCTGGTAAGTTCCCTCATACTTCCTCAGACTTTGTCGAAAGTTCTCTATTTTTCAACATATAAATAAAGACTAGTGTCATTGATATGGCTTATTAGAACCAATATAATAAAGTGACTTCAAAAAGAGGTCATTCTAGCTGGGAGGGAAATGGGGAGAGAAAAGGGAGACTCATGAACTGAAATCGAATTTCATACATGTATGAGTTTGTTGGGATGAAACCAACTATTACGTATAATTATAAAGATGTAAAAAATAAAAGAAATCATACACTGGAAAAAAAAAGAAAAAGAAAAAGAAGAATATTGTATGTATATGGTATTCTAAGCAGGGTATGGGCCGTATTCCCAGACCCAGGAGATTGAGGCAAAAGGATCACAAGTTCAAGGCCAGCCTCAGCAACTTGTCGAGACTTTGTCTCAAAATAAAAAAAAGGACTGGACATGTGGCTCAATGGTAAAGAGTCCCGGAGTTTAATTCCTAGTAACCCTCCAAAAGAGGTTGTTCTAAACAGGATTAAGAAAAAGAAGGATAAAGAGAGGCATAATTGTTGCAGTTCCCTGTGTAATAAGGTCAGGACTTGACAACCTGCTTTTAGTGAGGATCTGCCCTTGGCCCCTGGACACCCACCTGGCAGAGACAGTGGAGGAACTGGAGGGCAAATTCTGTTTGTTTCACCATCACAGGCTTCAACACCTGGCTCTGAAGCCCTCTGCTTCCCACCATGCCAGATCTTCACCTCCAGGGGAGCAGCATGAGCTCCTTGGGGTTTTCTATTAGTGGGCTGGAGTGCTCCACAGGGGTTGGTGACAGCTGTAGCTGGTTTGTCACTGGTTTTGCTTGACTTCTGATTGTTGCATATTTCAGTTTCTGGGTCTGTTTCATGCTCATCCTCTTCGTGTGGAATTGCATGTGTCTGGTTTAGGACTTTTTCTTCTGCTTGACTTTTGGAACTCTCAGAATCTCTGTTAAGAGGTTTCTGATTCCCTGAACCTCTCCTGAGTCGATAATATTTCTGCCCCCAGCTTTCTATAAAGTGTGGTCCAGTTGCTACCAGAATAGGGTTTCCCCGAAGGTTTCTGAGGTTACTTCTGTGAAAATGCAGGTCACTGGCTGGGAGCATGCTCTGGCCTTGGTAGATGGCTGGGCAAGGTGGGACACTGGAACCATAGAGGAATGGCATCTCTAAACCACCTAGTCCCTTTGGGTTAAATTTTTCCAATTTCCTTTGCTGGTAATTAGAATACATTTCCATTTCTGCCCTAAAAACAAAACAATATATTTTACACAATCGAAAAAACCCATTAGAAATATAATTTTGATGGCCCCTTGCCTTCCCTAAGGTAGCACCTCTGTTCTTTCTGTGCCCTTTAGCACAATCTTAGTGGGACTCAATGAGTTAATGCAAGTCTCAATAGTTATCAATCAAGGCAAGTGGATAGGGCAAGTGGGAAAGGAGGACTTGCTGTTTGGCTTACTTCACTTTCTTATTGGTGGTCACCTGGACTCCTCAGAGTTCAGTGATGAGGAAATTGACTCAACGCCTTCTCTCACCCTGTGGTCATACCCTAGATATATTGCTCTGCCTTTTTTTCTGCCTGTCACTACAGTTGAAGGCCACTATTGAGCTGATGTCAGGTTGTCTGGGCTCTGACAATGTCTGAAGTGGGGTTAGCAAACTTGGCTCCTACCCTCCAGCAAAAGTCACTTAAAGTCATTTAAGACAGAAATGCCAATATGAACTTCAGAGACATCATGGCTATGCATTAATTATGGAACATTGATAGACTATCACAATGTATAGAACTGTCAGCTTCACTATTGGTTTTTAATCTTGCATTTATTGTTAACAAAGCTGTATACGTGTTCGTATATTTTCTTTTCGTAATCTTTTCCGTAAGTCATCAGGGTGTGTGTATGTTTGTGTGAGTGTGTGTCCATTTGTCATATATATTCACTTATAAATGGATGAGTGAATGAATAGAAAATAAATACAACAACATTGTTAAGTTACCTGGCAGCATGAGGCCTTCGGATCATTTCATTTCTTCTGCTCACTGCCCTTATGGACTCAGGTGGCAAAAAGCTCCAACCTTAAAAACGAAAACCACCATTCCATTCCACAAAGGAAAAGCACACATTTGAAAGTAATAAAGTATAATGATTGAAAACAATGTCTGCAAAAAACAACCCACCAGTTGAACACAATTTAGAAATCGTATTGGATCACTGATGTTTACTATCTAAGATCATCTTTGGTGACAGCATGATAAATACAAAATAAATTTTGGTTTTTTTCTTTAATTGTTATTATAGATGACATTTTCCTGCCATATTACAAATGAAAAGAGGGTGAACTGTGAATCTTTGATCTATCTTTTCTTATTTAACTGAATATATTTAGGGGTACAATGTAATATTTTGATATTTGTATTCCTTGTAGAAATGAATTAACATAAAATCACTGTATTTGTTTATTGTATTATTATTTTGGTGAGAAGAACATTTGAAATCTTTTAGCAATTTTCAAATATATAGTACTTGTTATTAACTATACCTATCATGCTGTATAATAGATCTCCAAACTTATTTCTCCTGTCTAACTGAAACTTTGTACAATTTAACCAGAATCTCCCCCATTTACCTCACCTTGATCTCTTATTTTGAAGGAAAAATTGATAGCTTTCTTTGGTTGGCCTTTTATAAAAGAATGTTTCTTGATGTACCAAAATCCCAGGAAATAAATGCAATGAGGAGTTAAGTGGAGTTGAGCAGTAAATACATCCTATATTCAAATCAATCTTCCAAAGTACCTCAACAGCAACATCACCAGGTTTCAGGCTCCATTCCTGCCTGGCAACCTGGTTGATTTCCCCTTTCTCTGGACTAGAATGCACTTAGGAGTTTATCCTGGGGCTTTTCTGAGCCATCTATGGAAAAGAACCAGTTTTTAAATTTATTTTCTTTCTATATTTCCAACCCATCATGAACCAATACTTTATAAAAAATGCAAGAAGTTTTCTAAGAGATTGAAATGAAAACAATATGTACAAGCACCATCAAAAAAGACAAAAAGAAAGATCACTGATGACATCCACATAGTGCTAATCTAATGAGTCCTCATCTTACTTGGGCTATGAGTGGCGTATTTGACACAGTGCTCACTCTCCACTTACAAAACTTTCTTCCCCAGTATATGCTCCTGGGTTTCCTCCTACTTTACTGTTTGCTCCTTCTGTTTCTGCCATGCTCAATCTTCCTCATCTTTGGGCTCTGTTGATGTGTCTTAGGGATCATCCTTTGAACTCCTCTATCTATGGTCCATCCATAGATGGTCTTACCTGGTCTCATATTTTCTGATGAGTTCCAAGGTTATGGCTCCTGATCTCCTCCACAAGTCCTCCCTGACTTCAGCTGCCTTTTTGACAACTCCACTTGGTGGCTATTAGGCATCCCAAATGTAATCTGAGAAAGCTGAGTCTCCGGTATCTCTTCCTCCCACAAAACTCTTTTCCTTTATTTTCCTCAAGTTCAACTCAACAAACAGCAACTTCACCTTTTGGATTATTCCCAGAACAAAATTTTTGATGTCATTTGTAAAACTTCTTTCACCTCCCACATCCAAACTGAGAAAATCCTGTTTTTACCACCCAAATAATTATAGAATCTAACCATTTCTTACTATTTCTATTCCTCCAACCCAAGACCTCACCATTAGAATCTTTTAACTGTTCTAACTGCTCCTTAATTCCTATCAGTTTATTCCCTGAACTTCCTAAGTTTGTTCCCATCTCAGCAGCCAGAATGCTCCTGGTGACCTTTAAGTCAGACCATGTCACATCGTTGCTCAAACTCCTGGAAGACTTCTCCTTTTACTCAGAATAAAAGCCATGTTGTCACTAAGATATACAAGCTCACAAGGCTTTTTGTTTGCATAGCTGGGAATCAAACCTGGGCCTGTCATGTGCTAGGCAAGCGCCCTGCTGCTGAGTTACATTCCCAACCCAGGCCACTGTTAGCTGCCCAGGCCCCATTAACTCTCAGATTCTTCTCTTCATTACGTTATCAGTTCCTCATGTGTAAGATAAAAAAGACACCACTATTGCAATTCTTCATTTTGATGCTCAGAGAATGTTAGCAACTTCATACCTGAGTAGATGCGATTAGACAACATATTTGGCATATTTGCATTGGGTAGAATAGAGGATCCAAAATGGGAAGGAACACAAAACTGCCTTGGGTCAGTTGGACCTACAGTGGGAGGCAACACATCTCTAAGGGGAAAAAAACAAAAGATATAAAATAGGTAAAATGAGAATGAAGTTGGACAAATTTCCATTGCTTAGGCAGGGAGATTTTTTTTTTTAATTGCCACATGGAATTGTATCACCTCTTTCTAAACTGAAGTACAAAAGTCATGTGGTTTTTATTGGTTTGTGGAGAAATGCAGTAAGGATTAGAAGAAAGGACTTGACCCAGGTCAAGGAAATTCATTTCTGTAGTTCCGGAGGATTGACCCAGGGTGACAAAAAGACAGAGAAAACAAGAAGGGAAAGTTTTAGGGACATCTAGAAAAAAAATATTTTATCAAATCAATGCCACTTGTGGATTTTTTATGACCAACATTTTATGTCCATTAAATAAGAACACAAACTCTGTTCTTTTTTTTTATTATTATTTTAGTTGTATGTAGACACAATACCTTTATTTTATTTATTTTTATGTGGTGCTGAGGATCAAACCCAGGGCCTCTCATGTATTAGGCAAGCGATGTACCACTGAGACACAACTCCAGCCCACAAACTCTGTTCTTATTTAATGAACATATTTTGCTTGGGATTGCCATCTGGAGTCAATGTTGAAAAAAACTAGGTGAACAATTTTTTTTTCCTAAACTTCAGTTGTCTCTGGGAGTCCAACTTTATTGTTCACATTTCTTAGACAAGAATAAATAATGTGTCTTATTTTCTTTTCAGAATATCAAAAGACATTCCCGAGAAAAGAAGATAGAATATTGACAGCATGTACAACCAAAATATTTATAATTTCACTTTTGTTGAAAAGAAAGAATTGTCTATCATAGGCATCCTATTGTTATGAATTTAATTGTTTCTCCCTAAATTCACATTTTGAAGTATTAACCTCCAGTATTACTACATTTGGAGATAAAGCCTTTAAGGAGGCAATTGAGGTTAAAGAAGCATAAGTGTGGGGCCTAATCTGATAGGACCAGTGAAGAGGAAGAGAATCCAGAATTCTCTCTGCATTTACACAGAAAATAAAGGTCATTAGATGACACAGTGTTTCTTCCTGAGTCTAAACATTAGGAAGAGGCCTCACTAGAAATCCACTGGGTAGCACCTTGATCTTGGACTTTTGGCCTCTGGAACTAGAGAAATGAATTTTCATTATTTAAGCATCCAGCCTGATATTTCATTATGACAGCCCTGGAAGACTAACACACCAATGTTTGCATCTGAATGAGGCTTGTAATTGCTGGCTAGTTATTTTGCCTGCTGAGCAATTAGGTCAAGCAGGCCTAGAAGGGCAAGTGGTGGCAGATATCCTGAGGGGAGACAAGCATCTTCACTTGAGTTATCACAGCACAGCTCACTGAGATAATAGAATGTCGCTGGCATTAACATTCTAAAGGTTAATGATGAACTCGACTATCATTTTACTGGACTATTATATTGGAGAGAAATACCTATCCACAATTGGAGGTCCAAATGGTGAGGGAACAAGTGGAATCCTCTGCTGCCCCGATGCTGTCAGTAGGGGGTTCACAGCCATCATAGGATTTGACATCAGTAGCTCTTGCCTCTGATGGAGTTCTAAAAAGAACCAAATAAGTATGTTAACAAAGAACTCTACTTTTTGTGAATTCTTCTTGAACACAGTGAAAATAATTTTTTTTTTCACAATATTTGGGAAGACTGGCTACATCAAGCTTTTGGTTACCCTTTACAGAAAGCCCTGGGAGATAACTGAAGAACCGTTTTGTAAAAATGCCTTTGGAATTTCTTGCCATCCAGGTAATGGCATAACATACTAGAAGCAATAATCAAATTAAACCAGTCTTGCAAGATTCCAGGAATACCAACTTCCTTTCTTATAACTTGTTTTGATTCTTACATTTGTAGGGGTCCAAATGAATACATTCTTCTGTATGTTCAATCTTTGGAAAAATATTCTGATAGTTGACAAAATTAAAACAGAAAATTAGTTGGAAGAATCTTCTTAATGACTAAGAATATATCTAAATAGGACAGATATTGGTTGAATATGTAAGACTAATTAGAAAAAGTGACCAAATTATAACATGCTTGTATAAACACAAATATTCTTATAATTTATCATCAGTACCTAGTGATCAGAAAAAGTATTCTTTGAATAATTTAAAGTATTAAGCAAGTACTAGTCAAACTAGTGACCTTTATTTTATTTGTCTTTATGTAGTGCTGAGGATTGAACCCAGTGCCCCACATGTGCTAGGCAAGCACTCTATCACTGAGCTACAATGCCAGCCCAGCTTCTCCATTTTTTGAGGGGGTGGGTAGTAGAGATTGAACTGAGGGGAACTCAGACATTGAGCCACATACCCAGCCCTATTTTGTATTTTATTTAGAGACAGGATCTCACTGAGTTGCTTAGCAACTTGCTTTTGCTGAGGCTGGCTTTGAACTCACATTCCTCCTGTCTCAGCCTCCAGAGCCGCTGGGATTACAGGCATGCACCACTGCACCCGGCCACCTCCTCCATTCTTAATCATCACTTAAAAACAATATGAAATATCTACAACTATATGTAAGGAAAGGAAGTCAGGAAGAAAATGTTTTCCATTGTAGTGATCTTTCTTCTCTATTTTCTTTTCTTGTGTGTCTATTTGATTTAATTTTTAATATAGCTCATTTATTCACATGGTTCCAAATCTAAAAATAACAGCATTTAAATATGCATTCCCTTCTTTAACTTCTTTTTCAGATCTAACTCTACTGTTAAAATTGAAAATTCAAGTCAATATGTCACTTAACATTGGCTCTGGCCATTATCATCATCATCATCATCATCATCATCATCATCATCATCATCATCATCATCATTATAGGGATTGAATCCAGGGGTGCTTTTTCACTGAGCTCTATCCCCAGACCTTTTTATTTTTATTTTGAGACAGAGTTCTCTAAATTGCTGAGGGTGGCCTTGAACTTGTGATCCTCCTGCCTCAGACTCCCAAGTCTGGGATTGCAGGCATCGGTCACTGCACATGGCTCTTTTTTAAAAAAAAAAAAAATTATTTTTATCACTGAACCTCTGGGATATCAGTATGATTTTTTTCTCTGATTGTGGCCTTAGGGAGTTTAGGCATGGTATAGTCGAGATTAGAATAAAAATATCTGAGGACTGGGGTTATAGCTCTGTGGTAGAAGGTTCACATAGCATGACGTGTGAGGCACTGGGTTTGATCCTCAGCACCAAATTAAAAATAGATAAATAGATAGATAGATAGATTAGTGAAGGTATTGCATTGATGGTCTCTGGCAGAAGTTTAAACTTATCCTTAAGTGAGATAGACTTTTTGAAGTTATAAAATGTGATTCATGAGAGCCTGGGATTGTGGCTCAGTGGTAGAGTGCTTGCCTAGCATGTGCAAGGCCCTAGGTTCAATTCTAAGCACCAAATAAAAATGAATAAAATAAAGGTATTGTGTCCAACTACAACTAAAAATTAAATATTAAAAAAATACAGTGCTCATCTTTTATTTGATGTGATGTCTGAGACAAATTGGGGGAAGAAGGAAGGAAAAGGAGAGGAGCAAGAACGGCTTAAAGGCCGACCACCCCTCTTCCTCAGCATGTCACCCTTGGGAAAATATAGGGAGTTGAATCACTAAAAGCAGAGGAGGTTGTTTTACTTTGAAATCCCCAAAGCAGGCCCCGAGACAAGGAGTTTAGTGCAGATAGTATATTTAGGAGGCAATTGGAGGAAGTTCAGGAGAGTAAGGAAGTGAGACCAGGAAGTGAAAAGTCAATAAAGGATGAGTCAGTGTGTGGGTTACCTCTGTGGGAACTGGGGTTCAACCCTACTGGGATTCTCTAAGAAAACTTTGTGGTATATACCTCAGAATTGTCCCCCAAAAGACAGAAAGGTGGCTACATATCCAGTGATTTCAGTTGGCCATTGGTTGAGGGAATATTTTTCCAACGGGACTGGATTGTGCTTAAATTAGACCCAACAAGCTCCTATGATGTGAGAAAAAACCTTCAGACTGAGAAGCAGAGAGATGCAGGGGAAATGACCTCCATGGTGGCAGATGAATTCAGAAGAGGTCCAGGGAGATGTAAGGAAGGGCAGCAAGAGTGTCTAGTATTATCGAGGGAACAGGATTACCTTGTAATGTCGTCCCACCAGGTAACCACAAATGCCTTTCTTCCACAGTGCCAAATCCATCAGGCATAGGAATATTTCTACAAGGATCTGTAGGGTCCATTGGCTGCAAGAGCACACAGGGGTTTCTTTCTTTCTTTCTTTCTTTTTTACTATAAATCACAAAGTTGGTGAAGTAAGTGGAGAACTTAACACTATCAGATCAATGGGAAAGGAAGCATCAGAGACAATTCTTAACATTTACCACCATAACTGTCCTTGGTACCACACCTGTTCTCTTTTTGTGGGAAGGCTCTGAGAAAAGCACTCTACCACTGAGCTACCTTCCCAGCCCCTTATCTATTCTTGATCCCATGGTCCTCTGGTCCAGCTTTCCTTCTTCTTCTTCTTCTTTTTTTTTTTTTTTGCAATGCCAGAAGTGTTGAATGTAAACTATAAAAATTTTTTATGCTTCTAATGTGTTGGCTTATTGTTACTTCACTTGCCCACCTATTTTTTTTAACCTACAATGCAAACAATTCCCAATGTCTATGGAAAGGTCATTGCATCATGGAAGTCTCTGGGAAGGACAACAAGTCACTGGTTTCTGTAATACCTGCATGTTACAGTTCTGAGCTCCACTCGGCTTCCCAGTTTCTATTCATCCTTGTACTAGTGAAAAAGTAGGTATTTGCTTATCACTAGAATATCTATTGGTTTCCATATTTCTCTGAAAAAAGAAAGCATTGCCTTTCTTAATGTTATTCCTGTTATGTCCCCAATACTATATATATTATATATTTCATTTCAAGAGCAATTTTAGGTTCACAGCAAAACTGAGCAGATAGCACAGTTCTCCCCTCCTCCACACATGTACAGACTCCCCCACTATCAACACCCTTTACCAGAGCATATATTTTGTTACCACCAATGAACCTACAGGCACACATCTTTATTATCCAAAGGACAGTTTCCATTAGCTCTTACTCTTGGTGTGCATTTGAGAAAAGTATAGTGGCATATATCCACCATCATAACATTATGCAGAATAGTTACACGGCTCTAAACCAAATTATGTTTTAAAATAAATATGGCCAAAACACTTTCAAGGAAATGTTCTGAAAGTGACCAGAGTAAAAAGTACCTTCATCAGCCAGGTACATAGTTGAAATTCCAAATCTATATGATGCTCCTAAACCATCATTTTAGAGGTGTTAAATCACATGATCAACAAGTGAGTCTTTAAATATTCACTTTCACGTTCTCAGGGTATTCTCTGTTATTTTGACATGCATAGACAAATTTTATTTTACCATAGCAGATGAAATGCTCTTGAGTAAAAGTGCAGACTGGGATATAAGTTTTAAGGCAGAGCGTGTCTAGTAATCCCAAAGTAGGGGAGCACAATGGTGCTTAGGTCTGCATTCAGGTGGATTTCTCTGACCCAGAGCTCTAATCCTGGATGCTCAGCACTTTAGGAGGATAAGGACTCTTTAATCTCTGTCTTCAGACTCTTACCCTCAACAAACCCCTACAGGCAGCACACAGACGTCTTAGCTAGTGCTAATTCTGTCTCAACTAGTTAGGGCAGTAGTAGTAAGACATGAACTTCCTGAACTAAAGCCCTTGCTAAATCAGCAGATACAAATACTTGCCCATTGCATAGTAGCCAGGTACAATTTGATTCTGTTTCCCATTGGTTGAACTGTGGTCATTCATTAAAATCAGTGCAATTTGAGTTGACAAATATATGTATAGAATATTTATTGCATATATGATGCATGTATTCTGTACATTAAGATAAATTAATTTTTTAAATAACTGCTATACCTTGTCAGTTTTTATATTTGAGAAATAGACTAGTGTAATTAAATATTTCCAAAATTTTGAGAAAATTAAATATTAATTTTTAAATTGAAATTAAAGATAGATATATTTGAAGGTTTTTAAAATTAAAGCATAAAAAGTCATTATTGGCTTCACATATTTATTATTCTAGATGTCCTGTGGATTCTGAAAAGCATACTAATGCTCAAAGTAATCTTGTGTTTTCAAACTTTTAAAATAATAAATGGGAAATCTTTTAAAAGATAGAAAAGCCAATGAAGCTGCCTAAATGCATTTCATTATCACCTTTTGGGAGAAAAATTAAGCCAAGCAAATAGAAATTAGGCTAATTTCTCATAACTGTACTTAAAAGTATGAAAATATATTTTTATATCCAGTAAGAAAAAAATTTTAAAAACTGTACAAAATAAAAACTATTGTATTAATATTCAAAATAAATTTGTTAATTGAAATAGAGTTTAAAGTAAGCCTATATAAATAAATTGGCATAGGATATTTGACTATTTATAATTGTAGAGGCACATATTTCCTGAGAAGGTTACAAGGGAATCCTAAAATTAGTCTAAGAACTTATGTTAAGCAGATGAAATTATACATTTATGGTATCTTCAACCCAAATGTGTGTCATGGTTACTTACTAAAAGGAAAATTACACTGCTTCTTAAAATACGGGTGAGGAGGTTACCTTGAGCCTCCATCTGACATCTTTTGCAGGCTTTGACCCATTCCTTAGGGCTTCATCATCATGAGCACTCTGGCTCTGTGGGGTTCTGCCCTTGTGAGGTTCCCACTCTATCTCATAGCTCACTTCTCTTAATTATGAACTTCTCTCTCCTCAACATGAATTCAGGATGCAGTCCATTTCCCTCAAAAGTCACATAAAACTACTCACACATGGCAATATGTCTGCATGGCTCACTTTGTTAAGGTCTTGGCTGATGGGGAAGGAGGCATGTCAAATAGCAGTTGAGTGTTAGACTTCTCCATTGTGAAACATTCCATTGAGCCATTTCAACAACCCAGGCTCCATCTTCTTTTAATTTTTTTTAACTTCTCTTAAGTGGGACCCCAATAACTCCAACATAATTCCTTCCACTTTTGTTTTGCAGAGGCCTCTCTAATTCCTCTCCTTAGAGCAGAGACTCTGAATACCACCTAATTGGGTTTTCTGCTCTGGGTCTCTCCATATCTTCCTCCTCTCCCCATTTCTGCCAAGGATAAAGGACAAGTGTTTTTGAAAGTTCTTTTCTACTGGTGTGAACTACACTACTATCATCCCACTTTAGAAGGCAACTAGACTTAATTTGGTTTAAGTAGCAAGAATTTTTTCTGTTATACTAGCAGAGTGTAAATTAAAATGAATTATCACTCTACTGTTAAGTAGTACTATCCACAAAAACAGTTAATACTGAAGCTCTTGGCAATGGCCCTAAAATAGATTTCACTTTTACTAAAAGCATATGCTTTAGCACTTTCTGAATCCATCTCACCTTAGCAATGGAAAGCGTTAGAGACAGATGGCTATGTGCATGCTATCCTCACTTCCCAACTACTTTTCACTCTGTAAATCTCATTGGAATTGGACAAATCCATTCCTTTTTGAAATGTCAAGTTCTAGGCACATTAGCAATTATTGTAATGAAAAAAGGTAAACTTTTAGCATAATTGAGCAAGTAGAAATTATGTAATTTACTTTCTACTTGGATTCAACATCATTTATGTGCTACTATGGTTTGTAAAAATTACCTTTTTTTTCTTCAAAAGATTGTGTAGCAATATCCATTTTACATAAATTTATACATAGATTAATGCAAAATTCTAGAAGTACTTAGTAATTGAACTGAATATTAGGTATTTTAGTTAGATCATTTTAAATAATGAGTTAAGAAATATCAACCTAATTTTTTTTCATGATTATCATCAATTGTTCCTCAATGTTTTTGCTGAAATTTTCTTTTTTGATATTTCATGACAATTTTTGCTATATAGTTATCTACAATAATGGAAGTCTGTTAAGATTATAATGTATGATAAATGTGTAATAGCATACAGAGGTAGGTATTTAATTTATTTGAAGATAATAAGACACTTAACAAATTTATATACAATTTTGAATTGGCTTTATCTTAAATAAACTTCCTTTTATTTTCACATAAAACAAACAAACAAACAAACACTAAGACCAGGCAGTATTTCTTTGGCTAGAGTGGTACATCATCTTTACTGTAGTAAATTTAGTCACCCAATTAATAATGGAACAGATAAAATTTATAGATAAACCTAAGCAATTTTTTAAAGATTAAAAAAATGCTCTTTCATTGTATACATGCAACATTTTCTAAGAGTAACTAGCCTCAGTTTTGGACTAATCACTGTGTAGACTTGTAGATTGGCATACTTACATCTGCTATAAAGATTGTTTTGGGCATTGCTGATGGGAGCACCACCGGAAGACTTTCTGTCCTTCAACTGCAGAAGCTTCTCAGATGGCAGACTGAAAAACACAGCTGACACAGGTTTCTGAAACTATCTTAGTGAAGGTTAAGCTTGCTTTAAATATAAATTCAACTAAGTTGATCAGTTCTATTTCATGACAGAAACTTTGTCCTCTGATATCCTCTACAGATAGGCTAAAAGATGTTAAGCCCAAGGAAAGTGCACTGCAGTGGACGTAAACCTGTCTCAGAGTTTAGCCTTTAGCCTAATCCCTCCTTAGCCTTTAAGATGCTTTGTTGGCATTCACTTAATACCACTGTCCAATATGACACAAAGAAAAACACTATATGAATAAGTTATATGCTTTTCTTTGATGGAACTGTAACCTATTGCATGTTGCCAACAGGTTTAGAGTGGAAAAGTTTCTCTTGCAAGTAGGAAAAAAAATCAAAGCTATTTTTCACAGAGCTGAAGATGTAACAAAAATAGCAATCTATTTAAGGAAGAAGTGTCTGGAATTGGCAACTATTTTAATTCTCATAGATGGTGGAAACTCTTCATAGTATAAAGAAGAGAAAATACGGAGTTTTGAAAATGTGACCTGTTTTATTAGTAGAGACACATTTGTAGCCATGAAAAAAAAATCCATATGCATATCCAATATATATATTGACTCCTAGGAATGTCCTAGTTAAATGTACATTAGAGTAGTCATGATGGTCAATCTTATTGTCAACTTGGTTGAATTGGATATTCCTGGGAAATCAGTAAAGCACACCTTTGAGTGTGTCTATAAGGGTGCTTCTACAGACAATTCACATGTGGGACAACAAATGGACTGGGGTGGTGAGGGCCCAGATGGAACAAAAATGGAAGAAGGAAGAAGCCTGCATGTGTGTGCAAGCAAGTTGCATTCTTCTAGAGCGGGAGTGCCTGTTGCGCTGCCATCACCCCTGAACATCGGACATCAGCATCTGCAGCCTTTCAACATAGATTCATACCAGGGATCTTCCAGGCCTCTAGCTTCATACAGGGGCTGTATCATGGGTCCTCTGGTTCTGAGGCCCCAATTTCTTGGACTGGTTTATCCAGCTCCCTAGCATTCAGACATCCATTGTGGGGCTATCTAGCCTCTGATCATACAAGCCAATCTAACAAATCTCCTTTTATAATTATATCTATATTCTATTGGTTCTGTACCTCTACAGAACCCTCTACAGAACAAGTAATGCTTTAGGCTTCCAGTTAAAGGTAACACACATTTTTTATCATCAATTTTTGAGCTCCTTGTAAGAAATACCCTTTGGAACTTACTGTATCCACACTTGGGTCATTGTTCAGGAAGTAGTGTTTAATAGCCAGGACTGGCATGGCTAACAGATGCATCCAAGTCTCAGCCCCACAATTTGCCAGCTGTAGGACCTGGCCATGTTATCAAACTTCAGTGAGCCTCAGTGTCCTTATCTCAACCAAGCCTCATAGAGTTGTTTTGTTTGTTTGTTTAAGAAATGAAGGCAACATTGTGACTAAGAACTTGGATAGTTCCTTCTAAACACTAGCTATTATGTTATATAATTGATTGTTTTTGACATTGCTGATGGAAGAACCATCTGAAGACTTTCTGTTGTTTAACTGTCTCCCATGAATCTGCTAAATATTTTTTTCCCATTCTGTGTGATTAGAGATAATTGGATTTTTCTCCCCAAGAAATAAGGCCCAAACACTGTAGTCCTGGGCCATAGGGCTACTTTTGCTTTGATATTGGCAAGCTTCCTAAATAGAGTCTTTGCTACTTTTCTATTACCCAAAGGGATACAGTCACTCCTACATCCCTGCCGCAGCCCTCAGTGTCACTCAGGAATGCTAACCCAGGCTGGCTCTTTGCCTGGCCTTGGCAACCCTAGGCTCTTTGAGGATACATTGCTGGGAGGTGTTCTTCCAGGAAACCACATGAGATGTGGGGCAAGAGTCATTCTGGGCTGTTTCCCACTCTGCTTGTCTAACACGGCTCCCCTGACCTGGACTCCAGCATCTTGGATTCAGGGGTTGACCACCTTCCTCCTGACTTGCTGAGACTTCTTTATATGCAATTGTGATGAATTCTTTAGTCTCGGCTCGAGATATTTTAACTAATATCCAGAGTTAAGAGACTCTTCACAAAGTCTATTTTTAAGGACAAATGTCTCAGTTAAGTAGGTGAAAAAAAGGAAATGTGAGACTCATAGTCTACAGACCCCCCGGTCTTTTTGATGACTGGTGTTCTCACCCTGTCCCTTCCTGGGGCAATAACTTCATGGCTCTAACCCCAAGCCATCTGAAGGAGTAGCTGGCTGCTTCTAGAATTTAATATCTTAATATCATCTTCAGCCATTGGAAAAAACATAAAGTTAGCTTTCATATTTTGGTGATTACTAAAATTCTTACTGGTTTGCTATTAGTGATTTTTCTAAATGTGGTCAGGATGCACTGAAAAATAAAGATGGCTTTAGATCTGTTTTAAATTATTTGTTTTGATACTGACACATGTGCACTCGAAATTATTATTTTTTCCTGTACTGAGTGCTCTCTTTTTCTAGAAAATAAGCATGTAAATATAGAAATAGGATGTAATAGAATTTATTTCAAGGACATTCCTTTCCTATACAAACAAGACTTCCAAAGAAAGAATAAGAAACATTCCTATTCTGCATCTATATTTCTCTTTCTTTGTTTATATGTAGATAGTGATTATTTCATGATCTAAGGAAACTAGAGAAAATAGAAATCTATTTATATTGTGAAAAATTGAAATCTGTAGTTCAATGATATTGGGATTTATTTTTTTAAAAACATGGTAGTATTAAATAAATTCTTCTGAAATTGTTATATGCTATTTTATTAAACTTCCAATAATCAACATAAGATCATTTTTGGTATATGTCTTGTATGTAAGAGAGTGTTTGATCATAGGAATAATTGACCTAGAAACAATAAAAAGTTTTTATTAACTTGTGCATAGTCATATCAATGAAGTACATCATAGTTCTAACAGCAGTTCCATTAAATCAGCTAACTCTGGTTCATCCCTTGCTCATGTAGATTATACAAGTGAATAACTATCTGGAAATGATACGAAAGACAATCAACATAAAAAGTTTTATTGTTATTTTCCTTATCCTCCTTAATTTTAAATTGTCTTACTTTCCTTAATATCCCTATTTTAAAAATAATAATCATTGAGATTTAGAAAGCCATGGACTTAGAGTAATAAAAATATACTCAAAAATTACTTCTAGGGCTGGGGATGTGGCTCAAGCGGTAGCACACTCGCCTGGCATGCGTGCGGCCCGGGTTCGATCCTCAGCACTACATACCAACAAAGATGTTGTGTCCGCCGAGAACTAAAAAATAAATATTAAAAAAAAATAGTATCGTATTTAATATTTTTAAAAAAATTACTTCTAGTGAGCAAAGTGCTTTTGAAATATCATTTAATTTTAAATAAAACTTTTTTTTAGAGAGAGAGAGAAAATTTTTTAATATTTATTTTTTAGTGTTCGGTGGACACAACATCTTTATTTTTATTTTTATGTGGTGCTGAGGATCGAACCCAGCGCCCTGCACATGCCAGGCAAGCACACTACCATTTGAGCCACATCCCCAGCCCCAAATAAAACTTTTTATGGCCACAAAACTCAGCACACAAGAGAGGTATATGCGAAGACATGGTTCTTGCTTCCGGTTTATAATTTATTACTTTTTTTTGAAAGGACTGTTGTTTCTGCTACTTGATTCCCCTATTCTTTCCTCTTTACTACTGATTTAACATAAGGACTAGGCATGCAAAAAATTGACAAGGCATAGAGAAACTTGACAACAGGGAGAATTGACATTTCATCTTCAAACAAATTAACTTAAAAGCATCTTTAAAACAATTGCACAGGCTGGGGCTGTAGCTCAGTGGAAGAGCGCTTGCTTAGTGTGTGTGAGGCACTGGGTTCATTCCTTAGCACCACATATAAACAAACAAAATAAAGGCATGCTGTTCATCTACAACTCCAAAAAATTTTTTTTTTCAAATTAAAAACAAGCAAACAAACAAAAACAATTGCACATGTAATCTGTCTGTTGGTGATATTTTCTTTGGTGTCAAAATCACAACAAATAAAAAACCCTCCAGGGAATATTAATCTAAGCTTCTGGAATTGAACTTTTGTAATTTTTTGTGACATGGATATTAAACATAATGGAACTTGTTTCCAAAAAATAATTTACATTTATCTCAGTAATAAAAATATTTCCAACAAAGGGTGATTACGGAAAATGAGAATAGCAGTCACCATGCTCTCCTGGCTCTCCAAAATGTTGGGCTCTTTTTCTGAGTGTCATTATGATTTATGGGCTACATACTTTTACTGCCATTAGAACACTTGCAAAATTAGGGTAGAATTACCTCAGTTGACTGCTATTAGCCAAAGCTCCAGGATCTGGTGCCAAAAATAAATCCTTGTAATGATAGACTTCAACAGTTGTACAAAGCAGGCTTTTAAAGATTGGTTTCTGGAAACTAAATATTTCTTACTGTGACAAAGGGCCTATCATTAATAGATAACTAGCTCAAACTTAGATTTGCTTTTAACAATGTGACAATGTTTATAGAAATAGTATAATGATACTAATGGTAAGTATTTTTTTTCTTTACTTAAAATCTTTTTGGTAAAAGGGCCTTTAGAATTTTATAAATATTACTCCATTAGTACTCAAAATACCCAGTTGTTTTCTGAAATGGTCCCTGGGATCTCTCACTCTTTCAGCTTAATGTGCTGTCTCTTGGCATGAGGTGTATCCTGTTTCAAAGCAGTCTCAGATGCCAATGTTTTATAACCAAATAATGAATTGCTTTTATGAGGGCCAATAGAATGAAAGATTTTTTAATTATGATAAAATAACATAAAATTTACTATCTTAACCACTTTTGAATGTATAGTTCAGTAGTAAGTACATCATGTTGTTGTGTAATAGATAATCTGGAACTTTTTTATCTTGTAAAACTGAAACTCTATACATTTTAAACTACTCCCCATTTCCAACTCTCCACCTACCACTGGAGTCACCATTCCACTTTTTATGTCTGTGAATTTGACTACTACATATATAACCAGAATTGTGCTCTATTTTCCCTTTTGTGATGGATTCATTTCTCTTAGTAGAATATCCTCAAGGTTCATC